GCTACAATCCAATCTTGATAACACTTCTTGCTGGTGCAAAACATGGCAAGTGAGCATTGACGCTTCAAAAACAAAGTAATTACGCTTAATCACTAAACTAACCTCCACAACGCAAAGTATACACTGAACTCAACCAGCCTAGAACAGGTGCCTTCTTACAACTATATAGAAATGACAATTACCGAAGACCTGACCTCATTCTGCCTAATGAGTTTATACAAGTGTCATGCTGCTGCCTGCCCTAATCCTGGTGTTGGCACAATAGAGACTTTTAGCAAACCGTTGCCGTGTTCTGCGTACCGCACTACCGGATCCTTTGGAGCATGCTTTGGAGAGCGCGCCCCGCGGTCACGGAATCACCCGGGCGCGCGCTTAGAAGCACGCCTCAAAGGCTCCGGTAGTGCGGTACGCGGAACACGGTTGCGGTTTGCAATATATATATATATATATTTTTTTTTTCAGAACGTTTGCGATTAACCATCGTGATGGTGACCTGCGACAGCATGAGACGTTGGCTCTGGCGACGCCAGCTGTTGCCACTTTGGGACCACTTTTGAAGCATAGGCGGTATCGCTAAACAGTTGAAGACACGTCTTCTGCCACCCGCCCATGCACAGCTTTCAGCGGTTCGGCGTCTCGCTACGACAATAAGAGGTCGGCAATGGCGGCTCGATTTGCCGCGTTTTCAAGGCGTATATATAGACTCCTTTATTTCTATGTAAAAAAAAAAATTACAGGACGACACTCAAGACTGCTTACGTGTAAGAAGGCGAAATCATTATAGTCCCGAGGGGAAATGTTTTCGAGTCATGTTTCTACACGTTAGTTAAACATATAAATTACCGCAAAAAAGAGAAGGACAAGATGTATACAGGACAAGCGCTATTTTGCAGTAGCGCTTGTGCGGTATACTTCTTGTCCTTGTCTTTTTGCGCTCTTTTATGTTTTACTACGATGAATCAACTAGACCAACAACGTACCCAACTGAACTATGCTTCTACACGTATTAAAGTTTAGAACGACGTATAAAACGACGTCGTGGACGACGCCCTTGAGATTGACGCCAAGAACGGCGTCTGGGACGAGTTCTAGGACGACGTTGTGGACTACGTCAAGGATGGCGTCTAGGACGGCATCTAGGACGATAACAAGGTCGCCCACTCGGACGACCTCAAGGATGACGTCTAGGGCGACGTCTAAGATGACTTCTAGGACGACCTCTCGGACGACCTTAAGGACGACGTCGTGAACGATGCCTAGAGGACGACATCTGGGACGACGTCGAGAACGACGCCTATAGGACGACACCCAGGACGACCTCAAGGACAACGCCTAGATGACGACGTCTACGACGATTTCTAGGACGGCCTAGAGGACGACGCGAGGGACGGCGTTCTTGAGGAAACAATTGAGTGGCGCGTGCTTGATGACGTAATTTTATGGACATCTTCCGGCGTCCCATTAAGCGAAAAGCGGCCCATTAAGCGAAAAGCGGCGTCGCACAACGCCGCCGCTTTTCGCCTAATGAGACAAGTAAAAAGAACAATAACCTGAATAAAAACACTAGAATAAGTTTTGCTTAAACTTTAACAGAAATAGTGTAGTGGTCAAGCCCACATAATGTTGTTTGTGTTAAAAAAGCTTACTAAAAACTTTCAGCCATTCCACTTTAGTGAAGATGGATGACCAGCGAAGCTGTACTGTGGTGGGAATGAAGTAAAGGCCGGCTGCAAGTCGGCAAGCCAGAGTGGAAAGATTGGAAAGGTTGCCGCCATCTATGAGCAACAGCAGCAACCAGAGAAACTGCAAGCCGGTTGTCTGGTTGCCGCCGTCGCTAATAAATGGCGGCAGCTGTCCAGAGCTTCGTGTCGATATTTGTTTTGCCCACGGACGCGATATTGGGGAACATTGCTTTTAACAGTTGCGCTGTAAAAAAATTACCGCCACTCCACGAGGTCAATGATGTTGATTGAGGCGAAGCTCTGGTGGTGCTGAGGATACTGATTTTGTTCATAGGTAGTGCTGATGCAACGTTTAACGCGATTATATGCGCATTTGACCGAAGCGCCCTCTCGTGTATAAACGTTGAGCGGCTACATGCAAAGTTTCATCCTTGACATCCCCAGCTCTTGAGTTACTACCACATCTCAGAGCCCCCTACTCGCCCCGATGTCGTGGCCGAGTGATTAAGGCGATGAACTAGAAACCCATTGGGGTTTCCCCGCACAGGTTCGAATCGTGTCGACTGCGCAAACATTTTTTTTCTGTTTTTAAGAAGACAGATGGGATGGCAATCGATGTGAGCACGGACGCCGGACTGACAAGGCTTAGACCTTAAGGAGCTTCGCGCTTAAAAGAAGCGCCGAAAACAGGGCGCCTTGAGAGACTGGCTACTGAGCGGTGGAATGCGACCATTATCTAGACAAAACTGACTTTAGTGCCTCATGATGAAGACCGAAAAACCGATATGTTGGTGTGCCAGAGCGAGCGTATAGATGAGCCCTTTTCAGGAAAAAACAAAACAATAAAGGTACAGTGGGTGCCGTTGAACTTAGCTCTCACAGTTTCCGACCAATCTTGTTCTTAAAGGTCCCGAGAGCAGTTATTTTGAAGGCACAGGCACTCCACAGAACCGAAGAGGGTGCTATTTAATTTTTTTTAGATTTAATAGTTGCTACGAGTTTGGGTCACGCAAAATATTGCGTTATATGCACTTCTGTCGAATACTTCCGCCTTGACTTCGTTTTACGCAGGCGTTCTTGTCCTAATTGTATTGACGTTTTGATGAAGGAAATAAAACACAAGCTATCATCGTAGAGTCTGATCCACAAGTTCTCATGGAAATACTCTGCTTTCGTAATCCGCAACGCATATTAAATAAAAGTATAAAAAAAGGTATCGAATTGATATATTTTTTTCAAATATCTTTGATCGCATCTTACACTGACCTGTGACGCGGTGGAGTGTGGCTGTCGTATTTGATCATATATTTGAGGAGCTCCGTCCGCATGTTTGCACATAAACACTGGAAAAGAAAAGTACACAAGGATAGCTAAAGAAATGCTAATTTAGGGGTTCAGAGTGAAGTCCGCGTTTTAATCGTGTAAGAAAGAAATCGTAATTTAGATTATGCAAAGCCAGACATATTCACTTGAGGAATAGTAATGAAGACAAAATTATGACTGATAACAAAAACAAAAACATAACCACAACTCTTCTGTTTGATTTTGAATTAAATCACTGAAATTATCCAAAAAAATAGTTTCGTATGTAGTGTGGTTGATAACAGATTTTCTTTTTTGTGGGGTTATCTTACACCTGCAGAAGTAAAGCGGACAATAAAAAAAAGAATTGCATGTAAAAACATGAATTGGTATTATAAAATCACAATTAAAAATAAATACTGCAGGCAGAGGAGTACAATAAAATAGGCAGGATATGACTATGTAATACTGCATAAATTAGATTATACTTAAATATAAATTAAACTTACCAAAGCAAAAGAAATGAAGTAAAGTTGGTCCCCAGTGTAAACTTCTAAGCCTGGAAGAGCCCTCTCTTCAACGTGTTTTGTTTGCCTTTTATATGCCTGTACAGCAAAAAAGAAGAAAATTATATCGCGATGCAAATAAGTCATACATAGTTATTATATGTATTTTGTCCTTTGGTTGTATTCTTGTGTTAGATATATTTTGGAATTTTACCAAATCTCAACATGCTCCATCTAGTATCGACGGCCGAACTACACAATGTCTATAGGTACTGTCAGGTATTTGCGAGTGTTTCATAAAAAACCCCAACTAGATATGATTATGAGCTTGACATTTTTATATAGAAAAAGTCACATAATCTGTGAATAAAAATCCCAACCAGTGTCACTATCCTGGTGCGGCGGCGCTGTGTAACGTGGGAGCAAAACTGGTGCTCAATCAGTAAAAGGCGCTCGTTGTTGTGAAGCAAGCATGAATCACTAATTACGGTAAGTTGTAAAAATTTATCCTTTCTCATAGAAACATCTTCATGGCTGGGACTGTTTCGGCAAAATGAGATTTTGGTCTCATTGTCTTTATGTCTCTCACGATTGTTTGGAGGATGGCAGTGCGCGTACCAGTTCTTGATAGTGCCCTGGTCACAGGAATTGATTTCTTTTTTCCGTCGGAACACGCGCTGCATGGTTATCATGTTTGGCGAATCCCCCAAAATCATTATTACATGGTAATTCCTTTTCTTTATTTTCTGACATACACCACACAAACAAGTCAGAATTCATGTGGACCCATTAACTTTTTTTCTCTTTTAAATTAAAACAAGCTCGAATATGGGTTGTGAGTTAAGTACAAAACGAGCGAGTTGGTAACAGTAACTAGAGATGAGGAATGACATAGAAAGAAGGGGGGGGGGGGGGGACGGACGTGTTTGTCCGTCCCCTCTCTATGTCTTCCTCATGTTTATTTAATGGGTTGTGAGCTTGGTGTTCTTTTTTTGGCCGTTTTTGGCATGCAATCAGCGTGACGTTTCGCTTCCTCATTGTCTTCGCACTTATCGTCTTTTCCAGTTCGTTGTTGTTATTTTGTTATTCTCACACGAGTGCTGCGTCAAAATTTGGCTGAGACTCGTGCACGAGTTTCAGGCGAACACTAATGCAGCACTCCCGTCCAATCCTTTGTGATTCGCTTTGGTCTTTTTAGGCGAAGCCCAAAAAATTGGCACTAAGGTTCTGTTACATCAAAGGTATTTGGGGGGCGGGTTGGGGGGGGGGGAGGGGGGGAGGTGCTCAGATTAAAGAAGGAGGAGAGAGGTTCTACTAAAAATAAAGAAGTTCAGTTTTGTTTGCCCATTCTTTCCTGAATACGCGCCTGCAAATGACTGGAAGAATTTTCACTTAACTTCCGAAGTTTTAAAAATTGCTCCGGCCTCAACAACAATAGATGCATCTTTTTCTAACCCAAGGGGTAATGGGACATGGTCTCACCTTGAACGCCCCTTTGACACCGCCGGCGTCAGCAATGTTTTCTCCGAGAGTCTGAAGTCCGTCCAACTGGAAAGGAGCAAATCTTTTTTTTTAAATATAATTTCAGAGAGAGAACTGCTCGCAGTGAAGTTAGTTATTGTGTTCTTCCTGAGAGCTTCATATCCTATTGCGACAACCATTTGCAGTTGCGCATAAATACAAAGCACTCCTCTTTGTTTGTTCGTCTTTATACAAGCTTTGTTTCTTCTTAATCTTGGACATGGATATTCCAAATGTTTAGCCATTTAGAAAAAAAAAGCAATTTTCGGTATAAAAATTTTTGGGACGCGAAATCAGATGCAGTTTAAATATAAAATATTGCGTTGCCTAGCCCTCCGTACAAGTTCTGAATCGAAATATCATTTTAATGTGTCTGTAGTGGCAAAAGCAGACATAATGAAACTGTTTACATTATTTAGACGCTCATATTTTGTGTTGAGGTATATAAATGATACCTACAAAACAAGGCGCAAAAGAGTGTTTAGCTGCGTGTCTCTGATTTTGTTAAGTATAATGGAGTGAATCTGCATGAATTTAGGTTGAATTGAATAATCTGCATTATAATGTTTTAAGCCCGTTAAAAGAAAAATGAGTAAAAAGTGGGTGGTCCCGTGGAAAGGGCAGTACACGGCTATGCATGGCGTTCATGGAGAATAAACTTCTTGAGATTTTAGTGTGACCGCTCTCAAAATAAGTTCCGTGCCCACCATCAAAAAAAAAAAAAAAAGTCCCACTCTCAGTCATTTGCTGGGTTATCTAAAACGAAGCTTTTCGCTTGCCCCTTCATCTCTCCCCTTAATCTCTACAATTAACCCTGTGCAAAACACTTGTGCGCTCTAAATTACAATAAGGTTCCTCTATCTGTTCAGAATTGCTCTGCTCGTTTTATTCTTAACAACTTTCACCGCACCGCAAGCGTGAGCTCCATGAAAACCAGCCTATCGTTGCCTAACCTCCCTTTACATCGCAAAATAGTTCGTTTATGCCTCTTTCATAAAATATACCACACTGACTCATTACTTCACAACCGACTGCTGAATAATCCGTCTTATTTTTTGACACGCATTAATCATATGTTTAAACTAGACATTCTCAAATATAACAATAATGAACTCCGAGAGTCATTAGTTTTGAAAACTTAGTGTATTGGAACCACCTTTTTGCATCTATCGCAACCATTGTTCCTGACCTTTTATTTAGAACCGCCATAAATAATCTATATTGCTCAGATTGAACTGCAAAGTGTACTACTGCCACTAAGCCCCACTCCTCTCTGGAATACCGATGTCCTTGAGGGATATCTTAAATAAATAAAACCGCATCTTATCAATGATATTATTTTGGATTTTTTGCTATTCTCAAAGTACCAAAAAAGAGTTTCTAGGAGGTTTTACCATAACGTACGCTATTTTAGCGCACTCTAGCGCTAAATTTAGTGCTTGCGTTAGGGCATGCGACGCATGAGAAGTTTAGAACAGCGTTTCTCCGCCGCGACGCAAAAGCCTAAGCACCTCACGTTTGCAACGCCACCAAGATACAGTCACGATTTTTATTTCGCACACACAATAGTGTAATTGGAAAAAAAAAGTGTTTTTTGTTCCAGAGTAACATTTTACATTTGTTTAAACGGGAGAATGCGACGCGAGCGGTCGACCAGTCGTGTCGGCATTCGTAGAGGTCTCGTGTACTGACCTTCGCCGATAGATGTTCGCGAGTCGCAAGCATCAAGTTGCCGGTGATTGTTGCCCACCTTACTGGGTTTTCCACTAACCGAGTGAAATTGCGTTTGGTATTGAAAAATGCATTCGCGAGGATGGCGCCGACGTCGCGCTCACGAATCGCCGAGGCGGCCGCAGCCATGGTCCTGGCAGCCGCCACTTTTTTAACTCTGTTCGTCTTGGCTTTAGCAAAATTCTCATTACGACTCCACCTTAGATAAGTCGAAAGACTCTTTGCATACGCACGCAATTCCCGAAAAATAGCGTACGCTAAAATAGCGCGCGCAAAGCGCAAAATGTTAGCGTTCAGCACATGCGTAGTGGCGACGACGCTATTCTTTGCGTACGCAAAGCTCTAGCGTGCGTTATTCTAAAACTTCCTAATTTTATGCCGTAAAGGTGGCGGTAGAGCTTGTAGAAAACGGGATGCTACGAGAATGGCAATAGCACCAATGCTCATAGAAAAATAAATGTAAATAGATTTTTTTTTTTGGGGGGGGGGGGGGGGGGGAGAGGTGGGTGGGGGTTTACACAGCGTGCTCTGCGTGCACATTTTTGACGATCCAGAAACGCTGCCTTCCTGTCATTTCACTGGGGCAGTTCCGCTTGTTTAGTTCTCTGTTCGCGTGATTTTATGACAAATATGTTTGTTGCTGTATCGATTGATTTTGCATGAATCAACGATTTTGCATTCCTCGCTAGTGTTGTATTTTTTTATTGTATATGCATTTCTATGACTATTGCCCTTTTGGAAGCAGGGACATAGATATCATTTTCTTTTCCTTCTCTTTCACCGCCGTTTAATATCGTGAAAATTTTAAAATATTAGGGAGCCTGTTCAATCTCCCTGAGCTAACTGAACGAGTTGCCTCAGTTCAAAAATTGGCTCATTCGTCTTTACCAAAAATACAACCCACTGCACTGTGCTTTCTTCCTGTCCGACTCTCCGACTCCTCTGGACAAAGTCTAGACTAGTTAAGAACAATAAGACAAATAAAACAGACCGAATGAAATTTGTATTGGAAACAGCTTGAAATGCAACACAAGTGGCAGGGTGTTTTGAATAAACAACCATAATCGCCGATCGACAGTGGTGTCCGTGACAAACAAGCAGAGCTCCCAAACTTTTCAGTCGTGTTCGGAGATTAATTCATTTTCTCAATTGTCAAAGATTAAGATATGGGCGATCTTTTTACGAGTTACCTCTCTAGTCAGTGTAGATAATCACAAAAAAAAAATAGGTGACGGCGCGAGAAAACAATAGCCTTAGTAACATCCTCGATGGCCGTTGCCGCCCACATCCGGAAGGATAAAACACGATACAAAAAAGATAACTTTACTACTTTATTGCCTATTCAAAATATTGTCACGTGTGGTGACCAAAAAAAAAAACAATAAATAAACAGGAAGAACTAAACGTTTAATGTGGCGAACTTGTGCCAAAAATAAAAGGGTACAAAAGATAATAACAGAGCGTCGCGGGCGTCGGAGAGACTGACTGCAGATCAGCACGCGGAGTCCCTTCTGTACGCGCGTTGGGTTCTGGAACAATCGGCCTAGATTGTTCGGCGACTGAAACATTCGGAACTCGATCATACGAGAATGTTCTCGAACACACGAGAACGCAATGTTGAAAGAATAAATAAAAGAGCATTTCACTGACTGGAATCGAACCCAGACTTTCCGCGCTACAGTCAAGCACTTTAATGCCTGATACATGACATACACAAGAAATAGCCGTGAACCAAGAATAGCCAACTGAGCTAACCCCTGGTTAGCTCAGTTGGTAGAGCGCTTCACTTGTAATGGAGAGGTCCCGGGTTCGATACCCGGACCAGGCGGATTTTTTCGGTCGCTCATTAGTCACCCAGCTGTGTTTGGAGATTTATGTTTGTCCCTTGTCCCTCTTGTTCCCCTTCTCCAGGGATTATTTTCATCATGATAAAAACTGCGTCAGGGTTTGGCTAGCATATGAGGGTTAAAGTATTTTCATAGTCACAAGCCTTTCAATGAGTGGTAGCCAGTCAGGAATGCATTGGTGGACCTTGTGGGCCTCAACGAAAGGAATAACACCCTCACGAAAGAAGTCCTGTGCTTCGCGCACATCAATGTCAGCGTTACGCACGGCCATTCGTGCCCTCCAGATGCTGTGCAAACACAAGAGCATAACACAGTCAAAAGTAACTCCCCTTTCATTGTCGACCGACAGGAACCTAATCCCATAAGGGTCGAGCGGGAAGTCTTTTTTCAGGGTCCGCTGGAGGACGTCCCACAGAAATACTCCGTCCCAACATTCTAGGAAGACATGCTCCACTGTCTCCGGCCTCTTACAAAGAAAACAATGCGTACCCCACGGAATAAACAGGCCCGTTTCTTCCATCCAAGTCTACCGTTAGTGTCGCGGTGTGAAGTTTAAAGAAAAAAGTCCTCACACCTGGAGGTACCAGCATCCTCTTTACCCGCTTTAGAACATCCTGTCCTGGTCCGCTACAGTACAAGGCTCTGTACATAGGAACAGGAAAAACGATATCCACGACATATTTATACAATTTTTTCCGAGTCACCACGGTTAAATAATCGAATGAAAAACGCGCCGCTAAAAATTGGCATGACGCCACTAACTCGTTAAAGTACCCATAAATTCCACCTGGCCCACGTGACGAAGACACCGTGAGCTCGGGGAATGCCCGCCCAAGTCTAACTTGACACACAGTTCGCAAAAAAGGATCACTAGTGTCTCGAAAAAAATAAACCGTTTTACAATTTGCCGCAGATACAGGTGCACCAAGCCTAGTCCTCCCTCACGTACCCGTCGAAACGGATTCATCCTGCTTGTGCGCTCCCATGAAGAGCCCCATATAAACACCGCAAACACCCGATGCAATTTCTGCACATTCACTCTGGAGCAATGTAGTACTTGCAACACGTACCAGAGCTTACTAACAAGGAACAAATTACAAACCGTGGTCCGCGCAAAAAAAAGAAAACCCATTGCCCTTTCATTTTTTCAGCTTTGTCCCGGAGCTCCACAACCTGATTACGCCAGTATGGCTCACTATCACGATAGTACTCGAGCGGGACACCCAAGTACTTCACAGGAGTGGTTACCCACTGTACATTCAAATAAACGCTTGGTGTTGCCGCCCACTCTCCATGCCAGAACCCTAGACATTTACCCCAATTTACAGCGCTTTCACTGGTGATACAAAAACTCTTGATTTGTTTTACCGCTGCAACAATGCTTTCTTGATTTGTACGAAACAAAGCGATATCATCCGCGTATGCAAGGACACGCACTTCGGATGCCTC